TGGGAACTGGTGCTGCAACTCCGGGCCCATATCACCTCTCAGGATCTTCCTCAAACAGATCAGATCTCTCCAAAGGCATCGATATGCAACTGGGAATAGCCCTGTAGCCAGTAGACAACCTTCACAGCCCATTCCACGTAGTCCAACAATGAGTCGAAAGGCAACACGCTGTACAAGCTCCAACCTAGCCAGTTCAACGGGGTAGGTCGCAGCGCTACTACTCAAGTCTCGGTGTGACGTGGGAAGCGTACAGCAGTCCGAAAGTGTCCATCGTAAGTCGACTAAAATGTCTACGAATGGGTCTCAGGATGCTCTACACATTAGCACAGACCCTATCATTGTTTTCCCAGGTCTTCATTAGTGACGTCACCATAACTCCCAGGTCTCTCGTTTTGCGTTGATCAGATGTGCGAATCNNGTTTATCGTACTCTTTTTCCCCACAGAGTTCACCGACTGCTTTCAATCCACCCGGCAGAACATATGATTTGGACGCGATTGTGTCGGTGATTAACAAGGCGGAGAAATTTGTCTACATTTCCGTAATGAACTATGTTCCGGAAATTGTGAAATATGATAGAAAAAATAAAAATTTGTGAGTTATTCTGTATCCCGCAAAGGTGATTATTCTATTTGTGTTTGTAGTCATTTCCCCCGTCAATTTCGATCAGAAATTCCGTTACCTCTTACCTATGCGAATGTACGATCCCTTTTCCAGAAAAATGAAGTGTAAAAGCTTTTTCATGCACATAGTTCACTGTAACAAACAGTTGAAGGAATGATCCCCTTAGTCACGGGAATATATTATTCGGTAATAGTGACCTGGTGACCTGATGACCTAAGCCGCGGAACTTGGAGTAGCGATCTGCCTAACGCCCAGGAGGGATGAACGTGATATTGAGCCAGAGGAAAACAAGGTTTCCCACAAGCAAAGTTCAGTTGCGGCGGAAGGAACGGACCCTAGCGGGACCCGGTGCATGGCAATGAAAAAGACATTAAGTTTGCCGACTCGTTTTATGAAGAGTAGTTCAGTGGCACACCGATACATACCTCATGTCCATGTTCAGCCAACGAGAAGTTTCGAATCTATGCGTACTATAGGAACGAATAATGTACAAACAAAGCAGTCTACCTCAAATTGTGAGACAATCCGGTTCCAAGGTATACGGCTATCATGCCATCAAATTACATGGTCGAGAAAATATGAAACAATATGACACCAACACGGTACATGACATGAGGTTGGAGGGAGGGGGGCGTCGACAAACAGCCATCGAATATCCAGACAAGATACAGATTGCGAATTGGCATAACACAGGATGGACAGCCAATGAAAACCAAGTGGTATGAACAGTCAGTGCTGGGCCTGAACAAAGGATAGACAAACAACAAACCACAGTGTCCGTGGTATTCGTGAGAAAGCATGTGGGAGGAATGTTTGACAGGTTAAAGAATAGTGTTCGAAACGCCGGCTACAGACACCAACCAGATATCGGGAAAAAACGAATCTCGCGGTTTATTGTCCAATAAAACGGTGAATTCCACTGTCCCTATATGCACACGGGAACAAACTAAATATGTGTGCAAAAAAGTATTCAAAGAGAGAAAGAGTACTTTACTAAAAAGAAACGATCGTTAGCAATGATGGGTAGTTGATTTTCACCGTGTCAGGTATGGCATCATCGTTGATCGCCTGAAATCGTATTCCGCATCATAGGCAACTATATCAACTGAAAACTTCAGAATTTCGGTGGCTGCCACAACGCTCTTATGGCGCCGTCTCGTACAATGTGATCTTCTCAGTAAATTCAAATGGGGAAAATGGGGAAAAGTACTGTATGGAATATCATGTACTGTTCCGTACTACTGAGGAGACCAATAAATATTGTCTATAAAAATATTTAAATTGCTGGTCGAGTTGAACAAAAACCGGTTCATGAAACGTCTGCCAAAACAAAACAATAGGATGAATTTGAATGGGGCTGTTATCAGATTAGCGTAGAACTATCACTCGATCAACTGATTCTCGTCCTCATCGGTCACGTGACACAGAACGCTTGTCCGATAACTGGAACGCGTGTTTGACTTTGGCCGTTTACAGCATTGTTGAATCTTCTTTTTCTTCAAAATCAAGTTGGTTAGAAGTGACAGCGGAACGTGACCGTGCAACCGAAATTTGGTGCGCCGTATAGCTATTTCCAGATGTCAGACCTTTGGCCCGGATTTGGAGTTTCTTTCATCGTTGAAAATCGATCCTACGATCACGGCAAAAGGGAAGATTGCAAAATGAGCCTGATCATGACAATGATTTTGAATTAAACGGAGACAGTTACGGAAAGTAAATGATATAAATTTAAAATATTCATTATAATTTGAGTAAATACTACTAACCTTATCAAACAATCTTTCAAAATCATAGATATTGGCCTGTGATTGACGACGCTTTACGTTCGGCCGCGATCGATCGTGGGGTGGAAGTCAGATTAATGGTGAGCCTGTGGCCATCTACACCCAAAACAATGTCACGATATCTTCAGTCGCTGAGATGGCTGAACGGAATTCAAGGAGCACGAATTCGAGTGGTAAGTGTTCATTCTGAGGAATCTTTGTGATATTATACATTCGCGTTATATGAAACACTTCAGAGTTGCATACAGTGAAACCAATCTTTATTGTTTTGAATTATGAGGAATCCGAATAATTACTGTTCCTAGTCAACCACATTAGGATTGTCTGGTTCAAGTATTGAAGTTATTTGCGTCGACATTTAACATTCACTGCGCCAAATGAAAAATATTTTTCGTCGATGGTGGGTACAACTTTTTAGAATATAAGATGTGGCAGTTCAGGTGATAGCTGATTATTCCTGTTTGTCCGTCCGTCTGTCTGTCTATATATCCTTCTGTCTGTCTGTCTGTCTGTCTGCCTGCCTGCCTGCTCGCCTGCCTTTGTGTTTATCCATCTCCGTCACTATTAGATGTCATTATCCACTTGGAGTAATGGCATATATACCGATACATACTTCATAGATTGATTTATGCAAATTCTGTACGCTTCCTCGTTCCCATTCCTGGTTCTTGGCTAGGACTCAGTTGGATCAAATTGTCAAAGTAATATTTCCGTGGGGTTTCATATTGACATCATAAACTAACCTAGATGGACAACTGAGATGAAATGAGTTTTCGAGCATCCGGGTTTCGAATGACTATCACACATTATTGTCACACACACAACCGTTCAATCGATCTCACACTGGACATGTACCCGATTTGACTTTAGCCCACATTCGCGTTGATCAGTGGTGAACCTTCTACGGCCGATTCAGCGTTTAAACCCTGAACTCACTGTTTGTGTTTTACTCGTAAACATATGCTAATGATAGAAAACCGAGTCCGATAGTCCAGAAATGTTCAGTGAACTGAATCAACTATGGATTGTTCATTTCAATTAGTAAACAAACACAACTGCGTATTTTAGGTCGGTTTTGGTGCTGAAGTTGATTTTCTGAATAACAGAATGACGTTTCAGATAAACATTTATGATAGAACCGAGGTCGTACTGCGAGCCAGCCAATTTGATGGAAAAGATGGACTACCTGTAGAGAATCAGTTTGCCCTTACTAGATGATAGTCAACAGTACAGATGAGATGAACAAGTGTTACGTTCCCGGATAACCCAGAGCGAGAGGAAGATAAAAGACCGTCCGACCGTCAGGTCCTTCCGTGCATGTTCAAATCAATGTAAGCATGCTCCACACACAATACAAGAGACAATCATCTACGGTTGGTTTTGTCTGTGTATGCATCGTCACTAATGCAGGTGACCTGGTATGCAGTGAGTGGGAGATAGAACTGGATTGCCAACCCTGTGCACGTATGTACAAATCGATAGAATCATTTTCCGACAGTTTATTACAAGTGCAATCATTCTCTCCGGTTGAATACTTCTAAACGCTTCGAATGCATTTTTAGTCTTTTCGCTATCCGAATATCCCTTGGAACCCTCAGTTCTCAATTCCGTACTCATCACCAGAACACACCACCAAGTATCTAGGCGTCGCCATATATAGCAATCCATGGTGGTCCTCTCATGTGTTAGCCTGTGTTGGTAGACTGCGTTGCTTATCCTTTCAGATACGCAAGCTGCAACAATTTAGAGTGAAGCACGAAACTATGTTTCTCTGTTTATCAATGCATTTTTTCTGTCATACTTTATTGTTCGCCCTTTATTTTCCCTGGAAAACTTAGAAAGGATTTCATTACTCCTCATCGCGGTTTAGTAATTATCAGTCATGTTTATCTTATTCTTTTAAATACTCTGATCACAAAATTGTGTAATTTGCATGTCACTTCATGTGAGACTTTCGCTCATACGATACTCAGTGATACCAGCCATCCGCTTAATCCCGATTTATCTGCTTGCCGTTCCCACGCTACAACCCGATCCAATNAAGGTCTGCAACGAATTAATTTTAAACCTACAAAGATGAACACATGTTTAAGTATTAACATTGTATATGAATTTTCGTTTCATTTTGTATCCCATTGTAACGGTAAGCATATTCTTGCATGAAATGTAGGCACAGTTGCCTACCTAAGTCATTTATAATACAATACAATAATATTAATGTAATAATAATACAATAAGAATTGAGGCAATAAGTTGGAGCGATAGGAAGTGAGCAGTGCTTACAGTTCTCCAGCTTCTCACCCACAGCTTACAAACTTGGAATTATAAAAACTCTGTTCCATCGAGTCAGCAACACATGTTCCCCAAAAACACCACGAGAGGAAGAAGAATTACTAGGGAAACGATTAACTACAGGTATTTATAGAGTCCAATCAAAGTAAATAATGCGTAGCTCAAAGTGGATGTAGAAATTGAGGGCAGTAGAAATCGATCGTGACCATTGATTGAATTGGGTATGGGGTGTTTTGTTCATGGGATCTAGTTGTGAAAAATCCTGCCCAGGTTTTTCTTACTAGCGTTTTAGGGGTAATTTCCTTTAGGTTTGGGTGACGTATATGTAATAATGAGACCCCACCCCTATCCACCCACCGTATATCGATGTCTGATACATTCCTACCTTGTAGTTTACTAATGAACGGTTAGATCATCATTGGTCAACCAACGTGCACCGGACTAGTGTCGGCTTGTCATGGTTTATTGATTAGATAACTCCTGTGTGTCCTGTGTCTCCAACCTGCGACACCGGTGGCACCGCCACGACATCCGACTGTCCCTTATGGGGAAGGATGTACATCACCGCGGTTCGTAGCGTTCTTTATGGTTGCGAGACCTGGCGCCTCCGCGTTGAGGATGCTAATCGACTTTCTGTATTCGACCACCGATACCTCCGAAGCATTGCTCGTGTCTGGTGGGAACACCGGGTGAGTACTGACGAGGTTCGACGTCGTGTGCTGGGTGCGGATAGTCGTTCTCTAACAGAGATAATCGCTCTGGATTGCCTCCGTTGGCCCGGTCACGTATTGCGTATGCCTGCCCATCGTCTACCCTCTCTTTGCACGTGCCGGGTAAAGCTAGAAGAACCTCCGCGGTGGTCAGGCCATGACATGGCGTAGAGGTATGAAGAAACTGGCTTCAGTTGGTGCAGCCCGCCTTCCAGATTGAGGCCCAAGGGATGAGGGTTGTCGTTGGTTAGAGACACTGAGAGATATGGGCCAGAATAGAAGTCAGTGGCGCGATCTGCTTGTCGAAATCCCGTGCCCCGTACAAACTGACACAAAATATATAAAATTGCGTACGGTGAAGCACACATATTTTTGTTATTCCAGTTATCTATCATTTTCCATTTTAACTGTTTTATTTTTTCCCCAATTTTTGTATTTCAAACCACATACTCCGTTTTGTTGTTACTGTTATTGTTGTTTTGGCGTTAGCACCATGCTTTTCGGCAAGCCGGTGTTAAATATATATAGTATATAACTCGTGTGAGAAGTGCACCCAGATTTCATTAGTATTGTGGGGTGTCTATTTCAGAGAAAACAGGTTTGGGCAATGTTCGTGTTCAAACGATTTTCCAAAACAAAAGCAAGTGAGGAATCAGACTGTTGATAAAAAATGTGAAAAAGCTTTCGTGTCAATGTGTTTGTTACCGATATATTTCGACCACCGACCCTCTGCTGCTGAAAAATCCATCGCATTTGGTCACGCCTACAGTTTGGTGAGATTAATAAATGAAACCAGTGTCTCTGGGTAAAATCCAACACCTTAGTTGCGTTACCCAAACGCAACAGTGTTCATAGAGTTTAGAAAATGATTGCCTGTGGGTATACCAAGTTCAAACCGATAGAATTTGACAACAATATACTAAATTAATCAGATACGAAGAGGGTTGCCTAGGGTGTATCAGGCAATTCGTATGCAAACAGCTGTCAACTACAACCTATAGGTCTTTATATGCATTTTTGTGTTTTTAATATCACGAGTGAACTTTCAGTCACGGATGTTTGTGGAGCCCAGTCATTGAGCCTCAGTCATTGAAAGACTTGCTTGATAGCTGTGGTGAATGAATTTGGTGGAATGATGGTGATCCGATGTGTTTAAATTGCTCCTATCGGTTTTTGATATCGATTGCACGCCCACAAGATCGTGATAAGTAGGTTCATCCAACGGAACTGGGTATGCAGATTTCTGCACTTATTAGCATTTCAGTGCATGATCACTGTTATTGGCCTGAAGACTGAATGACTGATTGTGCAAGCCTTCTGCTAGGTCGTTTTGAATGCTTTGGATATATTTCTTTCAAACCTTCATCTCTCATGCTAAAAATTGTTGACTTTTCAAAGAGTTGTATTTAAATTCATAAGATATTTACCCTGAGGGAGCTTGGGGGAGGGGGTGATAACTGACAATGTTTTGACCAAGTAAAGCGGTTTCATCATTTGTTCGACGATAGGGTACCGTTGCATGCTCTCTCAGAGGATGAATAGGTGTTGCTGAGTCTTCGCAAGATTTTAAAATCCAAATCACGGTTTTCGTTTTATGCTAAATACATTTTTTTATTTCCTGATATTGTGTTCATACGTGTCTTATGTGATCGCTTTGTGACCTGGTCCTACACTCCGTGCTATCGATCGATCGATCGAGTAAATCGTACTGATCCCAAACATGTTCTGGTTCGTTGGATTAGTGCTCATGACATTTTATCTTATCCCTATTGGTTGCCTGTTTTTTAATCACGGATTGCTTCGCCTTTTGCAACAACCGAGATCTACTGTCACAGGAAGGGCGGTGCCGGTTAACAAAGAAAACAAAGCCATTATTGAGTAACAAATATTCGTGTGGCATCAGTTGTCTGTTGCTAACCGATTTTTTATTATCCTATTAAAATTTTATGTAACTCTGGACTTTGTGATTCACATTCGAAGTTCTCAGCCCACACTACCTGTTTTCCGGACCCATCTCTCCCCCCCCTCCCGCTGTTCGATCCATTCGGAAAGCGCTATTTTAAAGTTCCCTCGTACACTCCGGACCAGAGGGATATTCCCTACGCACGCGTCAACCACAACAAATACATGGTGACTGATCGGAACGGGTATATTGGTAAGTTAAAATCGATTGATATCCACGCACAAACACAATTCGAATAGTTAAGCGCGCAAAGAATACAAAAGACGGCGCTTATAACACATTTGGCTGATAAATTCAAGAGAACGGACGGGGAAATGTAACCGGGATCTGCCCGAACCAGGCACCAAATTTCTACGCAATGGTTGGTGGATTCAGTGCGTCAACAACGTTTGGGTGTAAAAATTTGAAATAATAATGCCTCGCTAATTAACTCCTTCTAACCACCATTAGTGGACCTTAATGCCAACACCTTGGTGCATAGTGAAGTCACCTCTGGGCAGAAAGAAGATATCCGTGTCGCGAGATGTGAATATTTTGTTAAATTTTCTCAATTGATGACGTAAAACAAACGAGTATCATCATCATCGTAGTCGTCTTGCAGCGAAATACAGCGAGGCAAAATTCACCGATCGCTGCCAAATTCACAATGCGTTCAAAGTTATTGGTGATGTGTGGGGTGGACAGAGATTGGACCTATTTTGAGGGAGATGGAGGAAGATGAATCTGTATGGTCAACACACAGGGTACACAATCTGACTGTGTATACATAGCGTTTCAAGTATTCTGGCCTGATAAGAAATGACAACTAGAACATAACTGCTGTCGGTTCGCTGCCATATTCTCTGAAAGCCTCGGTATGTTTGGGGGTGGGTGTCTCGGGTTTTGGCTGGACGACCTTCCGTTGCACAGAGCGAAATGCTCCTCTACAAGCAAGCGTCTCAAATAGCCTCTGATGAGGAAATTCA